AAAATTCAATATTTACATGCATGGTGTGTTGTGAGTTAATTTTGTGAATTTGTTGCAAGCAAATTTTATGTGACAGACTGAGCTAGCTGATGGCAGATAGATAGATCTCTGAATGAATATGTGAGCAACTCAATCTGCCTGCCTGCTTTGCCTGATTTTCGGTAAAAGTTGCTCTCTTTTTTATAATAAATTCAATATTTATATAAATATTTATAATATTTACATACAAGCCATGCCCAGCCAGTCACATGACCACCAAGCCACGCCCACAAATTAGGCCACGCCCACATAACCAGTTAGTGGTCCCTGGGATTTAAAATTATGAGTTTGATGGTCCCTGAGGTCCAAAAGGTTGGTGACCCCTGACGTAGATTATAAATTCATTCTTAAAGACAGGCTTGAAACAGCCAGAATTCTTGATGCACTTTCTTGAAGGCTCTTTTACTTTATAAATTCCAACACAAAATTAGGCTTGCCAAGATGCCCATGATTTCCCCATGTTGATTTTTAAGGCTGACTAGTAACTTTCCCACATTCTCTCTTGTCTTTTCAAATCTGGAGATCTGTCACCATTCAATGTATCACTAGGGATAAGCAAAATGGATCAATTTCTCTGCCCACAAACAGGAAGAGAAATGTTCTATTTTAGCCGGGGTTTTATTATGGTATTCTCATAGATTTTAACAAATCTATGGCCAGAAAGATCAAACAGCCCAATTCTGGAAATCAGACTTGCTTTTAAGTAGCAAATGCACCAAACCTTTCTAAATGAAAGACACCTTTTCCATAACTACCCAGAAGGCTGGGGATACAGGTATACTTGATCAGAAGGTCTTTTCCATAATACTCATGTCCCCATACTAACATCTGAAGATCTACTCAGAAATAAATCTGATTAAGTTCAATATGGTTTAGCCCAGAGGTCCCCAACCCCTGGGCCATGGCCCGTTCAGAACCAGGTCGTGCAAGCAGTGTGCGAGCATGAGTACAGCTCCACTTGTGCATACGGCTACTGAATGTGCGCGCAGCTCCATTTGTGCGAGTGAGGTGTGTGCACTTGCCCACCATTCATGCAGAACCATCCATTTCCCGCCGCCACTGGTCTACAAAGCTGGAAAGGTTGGGACCACTGGTTTAGTCTATCTCTTTAGGTCAGTACAGGTAGTCCTCGACTTACGATCACAATTGAGCCCAGAATTTATGTTGCTAAGTGAGAATTTGGTTAAGTGAGTTGTTCCCCATTTTACAACTTTTCTTGCCACATTTGTTAAGTCAATCACTGCAATTTTTCAGTTAGTCAAATGGTTGTTAAGTGAATCTGGCTTCCCCACTGACGTTGCTTGTCAGAAGGGTGTAAAAAGGGATCACATGACCCTGGGACACTGCAATCATCATAAACATGAACCAGCTGTCAAGCATCTGAATTTTCATCATATGACCACAGGGATGCTCCAACGGTCATAAGTGTGAAAAATGGTCCTAAGTCACTTTTTTCAGTTCCGTTGTAACTTCGACCAGTTACTAAATGAATTGTGGTAAGCCGAGGACTACTTGTACTCACCTGTTATTACAGGAATATAATACTGTAGTGAGTAGGATCGTTCTGACTAAAATGGATAGATGGAAAAAAGCTTCCAAGACTAGACAGATGTAGGCTATGTAACAATTTGCCAGAGTAAATTTTAAAAGAGTTAAAAGCACATGTTAGTATGAGCCCAATAAAACAAAATTATAAATTAGCAAGATTTCTAATTCTGTTCTGGACTGAGAACTGCTGGAATGCCCGAACTGATTATAAGTAAGTCAGCATTTCTTAGCTAGAAGCAGATTAGAAATCTACAATCTACAGAACAAGAGAAGAAAACCATTTGTGTAAAATTGGCAATTACACAATGAAGTGTGTCCAGAAGCATAGTGTTATTTCACATATTAGGGGAAATTAGCCATTTTTCTTTCAACTGTAACCAATATTTTCTCACTGCAAAATGTTACTCCAGAGTTTAAACAGCAGATAGGAACAAAATGTATTTATTTCCAATGTTTACATTTTTTAATTTTGTCTTTTGCTTCCTAAATGTCTCCAATTATTTCTTTGAATACAGTTCAAGATTTTACAAATCCACCAATTTCCCCCAATCTTTGAGAACAAGCATTTGTGAATTCTGTTGTTTAAAAGCTGTTTTCATGTACAAGGGGTTAGCCAGGTTTTAAAAATCAAGCAAAGACTTGCTTAGAAGAAAACTAGCTTAAAATCCTGCACAATCCTATCCATATAAAGCCTTCAATAGAGGAGCAGTTTCCCTACCATTGCTAGCTAACCTGGTATGCATGTTTTGCTTAGATAATATTTAGTTTGATCTCACAAGTATTATAAATGAATGAACGAATGAGTAAAGCAAGCAAGCAAGCAAGCAAGCTAGATGGAACTACATCTATACATCCACCCAAGCAGAATTGCAGTTCTGAGAAGGGAAATCAAATTTAGAGAAACGCTGTAAAAATATGATTCTTTAGCAGCAATTTTCTCCATCTTTGCAATGTTTTTCAGAGATAATGCACCTACAACTCCCAGAATCCTTAGATAGCTAGGTAGCAATATCAGTAGTTATATTCTAAGCTCATCTGGAAGGCACCAGATTAGAAAATAATGCTCCATGATAATTCTATTCATAACAGTGAACCTGCTACAATTAGCAGACTATAAGTCCACAAATGTAAAACTCACAGATGAGGAAAACAAAGTTTCAGACTTCACTTTTCAAGAACAGATTGCAGGAATCATCACCAGACATGTATTATTCACATCTGGTTTCACTTCTCTATTGATTTTATCAGAGATGATTTATTTAAGTGGGAAAAGGTGCCATTTATTTTTCATTCCGGATTTTTTCAAAAAGGATAAGGATTGTGGATATTTTCTTCTTCTTTCACCTGCAGAAAAACTTGAAAACTTTGCATTTTTGCAGTGAGCTGAGGGAAGTTCCCACACTATTAAAGAAACTCTAATGAAAGAGATTAAATAAAGAGGGGGAAATTAAGGTAGATTGTTATAATGGGGAAATGGTACATCTATCTACACCCAGCCTTGGATCTAGTATAATTTTCTAGGACTTGGGGAAATCTAACATTTCTTACTTTGCATCTTCATCTCGGGCAATAACCAAAGACACATGATTGGTTGCCGATGCCATCTGTAACATGTCAAGAGCTCTGTAAAGTTAAAAGTGAAGAGTTAAATGTACTGATTTTCTCCACTAAGGTGTTACAAAAGCATCACCGTAATGCATTCATTGCATCTAATTGTTTTTGATGAGTTGAATTGATTACATGTTCATTTGTTAAACATATTAAATGTTGGCATAACAAGGACATGATTCATGATTATAGAGATTAAAAATCCCAGACAGTCACACTTGTTAAAGCACAAGTAAAGGAACTTTTTGTCCAAACATAGAGTAGGGCTCTCCTTAAATGTCCTTTTTGCAATCATTGGATTTTGGCAGTGGATATTGTTAAGATAGCTTCCTTTTTTGTCTTGAATAAGCATGAAACAGGCCAGTGACACTTTATCCTATTATATGGCATCTTATCCATGAAGATGTTAAACAAGGCCTAAGCAGTTGGAGGCAAATTATTTTTCTTTCTATATCTGCAGCTAATCTGATCTAAAATACTAATAGGCAATACAAATGTTAGCCATTCCAGTTCATGCTTATAATAATTATTTATTTTTAGATTTTATTCATGAACATTTTTTGAATACAGCATTTTGCCTGGGTATATTATTTACAAAAACACAAAAAACATAGCTAATACTGTAAAAATATTGTCTCATTTACTAATAATAATACTAACAATATAATAATGCATAAGTTTCCTGCTTATAATTAAATGTTAGAACTTACCTTTCATTAGTTACACCACATAATTTTTGGCCATTCAATTCTAAAATCAAATCTCCAATACACATTTGATCTTGAAAAGAAAAAAAATCATGATAGTTAATTACAAATCAGCTACATAAAGAAAACAAAATATTTATTTAGGAAAAGAAAACTGTACACACATACAAACAAACAAAAATCCCACCAGGACAGAAAAATGTCAGAATTACGTTTGATATACTTTCAGCAACATGACAGAGCTACAATGTTAGTAGCTACTTTCTAGATGACTGCTTTCTAGATGACATTTATTTTATTTATATCTTTATATGGAACTTCATAGTAATGATTTAAGGCAATCTTTCATTTATTCTTTTATGCCATTTTCAATGTTTTGTTTATTTTACTATTTTTATATGATCCCTGTTTTAATATAAAAACATTGTCGTAGGGGGTAACTTAACTATCATATTAATCTTAATATCTGACATATCTGTTATAATATCTTGACCCCATATTATTGCCTTGCATTAGTGACCTATATATAATATCTGCATTTCTGATTCATTTTTTCACCACCTGTAAAAACGTACCTTATGCACCAGCAACATATGATCAACAATGTTCTACTCAGAGAGGGAACTGACAGTTTTGCAGTCTTGCCAGCTGATATATAAGAGGTTGGAAGGTGAATAAAAAGCTGCATTTGCATTTCTAGTAAAGAGGAAAGTAAAACCAAGAACTACCCATGGTAATCCAACAAGTTTTGGAACCCCATGGATAGAGATGGCAGGGGGAGGCTAACACATTCCATATTTCCTGTCCTTTGTCCATATTACGGGAAGTAAAACAGGGACGGGGAAGGTGGGCTTAGAGCAGCTTTTCCCCTCTATTTGGTCAACACAGTTGATAGGAAGACTTGATTTTCCTCAAAAGCACCCCACGGTTACCTGGAGCTAAAAGCAAATTCTTTTAATCTCCTGGCTGATTAAGTTATCTTTTTTTTCACATGATAATCCATCCATCAACACAGTTTTTGTATGTATGGCCCAGAGAGAAGTTGCAAACCTGATTAAAACAGGTATATAGTGTGCCTAAAATTATCTCACTTGAATCTAATGTATGAAATCCAAGGCCTTTTTTCCCCCAAATGATAAAATTATTTCCATGAGTGGAACTATGGATGTGGTGACTCCAGCTTTTCCTGTGTAATCTGCTCTAAAAGGTTGGAATTTCTAGAACAGAATGAGGGAATTCTGTAGTGGAAGGAAAGAGAAGATGGTTTGGATGTGTGAATCTTTAATTTAAAAAAAACCAATATGTGGATTGTTACAGCTTTTTTTTTTTAAAGCAGCATTGCCACCAGTGAATATAACAAGTAATTATTTACTATCTGTAGTAGCTATCCTCTCTGGTAATATCTCCTTTATGAAAATTCCATACTCTTCTTTGGATTGATCTTGACAGCCTCCAATAATTTTAATGCCTGTTGAGCAATTAAAACAAACAAAATGTAAACAGGTTATTTTCTTATTTTCCCCACTGTGATAAACATACCCTGGTAATTGCTAAATAACTGCATACATTATAAATCCTGTCTACATCAGAGTGGACCACCTGCCCAAAACAGTATGGCAATTCTCCAATTTTATTAGAGTAAATTGAATATGTAATCTGGTTACCTAATCCATTTTGGCAGTCTGAAAATGAAACA